GCAGAAGCCGTTTCGAGGCGGATTTCAAGAACTACCCCGCTGACACACACCAGTCCCAACACGAAACTACTCCCAAGGACGCGTTCCTGTTGTAATCTGTCTCTCCTTCCCCAGCCCTGTCGCTTCTCAGCTGGATGCCAAGTGAGCCGACAGAAACCCACCGCTGAAGTCACGCTACCCAGGTACCACCCGTTTTCACCCAGGATGGAGATCTGGGGAGCGCGCGCATCCGCGGGACCCAAACACACATCAGCATCTTGCGAAGAACCGTGACCTATCGTGCCTTTCCACGTTCAGGCTCACGTCGCCTTTAGGAGTACTGTAAACTCGGTTTTAGCTCGGCAGCGCGCGGCAGAGACGCGGTGCCTTAATGGCAATTCAGCACAGCCCCCAGCAAGCGTCGTTCGAGGGTTACGAAGCTGACAGCGCAGCAGCGATCCTGCCCTACAAGTCACCTGGATCAGCAGTTTCCTATCTTCCTCTATATTTTTGTGTGTGGTTTCTTGCTCCTGCTTCTGCTCGGTCTTCATCGGCACGTTGATGTTCACCCTTAGCTTTTTGCTGTAAAGACAGACAGAAGTTACCAAAACCAGCCCTACTTCACGACTTACTGAACCAATCCAGCGAGCCGCTGGGCCGAATCAGCACAACTGACGACGCTGTACCGGAGATTCCTGTGCTCAGGAAGAAACTCCAGTCAGCGAATGGGCCAAGGGGAAGTCAGCAGAAACACAATCACTGGTCCGGTTTAGAGACTGGATTCTGACCGTAAGGCGGAGAAATCCATGTGTTTTGTAAAGCTCAGTTCTGGCCCTACGTGACCCACTCCCCAGAGCCCACAGCTGTGCCGGGAGCGCGGGGCAGCGCTCAGGAACGCTGCGGCGGAGAGGGGACCTGGCGGTTATCTCACGGTCTCGCACCTCGTTAACCAGGCAAGGCTGAGCCACACGGTGCGGCACCACAGCTCAGGGTAGCTGGCCTCAAACCTTCACATGTCAGCCGAGCAGGGAAGAGAGCAGAGGCAGAAGGAAAGGTTTGGAAGTGTTTGAGATCTTGGGGAAGGACTGAATTTGTGTGCGTTTAGCCCTGTGCTGTGGTACGCGTGACAGTCACCAGCTGGAGATACGAACGTTGGGAGCTGCACCGGCTAAAGAAGAGCTGCTGAAAGCCCGGTTTATTCAGCCTCGAACGCCACGCACACCCCGAAGCTCCACAACGCGCCTGATAACCTTCTCATGTTCTCCCTGGTGCACGAACACTGAAGAGCTTGACCTCTGTGGGCCACTGTAACCGTGCAAAACGCGCTGTATTTGGACGCGTGCGAAGCCACGCATCCTGCCAGAACTCAATTACACGTGAATTGGACAAGAATCAAGGAATGCAAAGGAGATAGGAAAATGCATTCAGGCCTTGACAGGCTTCATGGCCAAGTCAAAGAGCTGAAACCTTCCCCTGCGGCCCTACCAGCCAACCCTCTTCGTCAAAGCTGGCACCCCGGAGCTGTGTTTGAATCGGCACCTATACCCACGGCTTTCACCCCAGGTGTACTGGGTTTTACCCAGATTTTGAAAGCAGAGAAGGAAGGAGGATGCTACCCACAAGCGATGCTGAAGTTTGTCCTTACTTTTTATAGCCCAGATAGAGTTTTATTAAGGTATCCGGTTTTAACTCCACCTCATCAACGTTGGCGTTTTCATCTTCCAACACCTGCAAGAAATAAGTAACAACAAAAAAAAAATCAAGAAATATTCATTAACGCATTTTTGCTGAAGTCATGAAAAGAGCAGGAGCACTTACAAGCAATTTTGATTTCAGGAGTATCTGTAGAACTTGTGCCAAGATATCCTAGAAGATGACAGAAAGTATCGTCAGCACAGGTAGCACCTTTCTCTAACTTAAAACACTCCACAAGAAAGAATACACAGGTTCAGTGAGCGCAGGACACTGCACAGTGACTGAAAACAAACAGAAGCAGTAAAAAGGTAGTCCACAGAAACCAAGCGTAGAGCAGAGAGCATCAAACTCCTTTGAAAAAGTTTCATTCTCTCCCCCACCTCACCGGGTGGGGCAGCAAGCGAGCAGCTGTGTGATGTTCAGCTGCCCACCAGGTTAAACCACCACAGCTACATAAAGAGTTTCGTCCTGGTACAGCCATAATTTGAGCCAAATCTGTATTTTACCTAAATAAATACATAGAGATATTGGCAAACAAGCATCTGTAATAAATGGCAACCCGGAGAACGGATACACAGATTAGTCATTTAGGGAAAATGCTGCTTTTCCTAGAATGTCGTCTTTTGGTAATAAAAAGGCTGGAGTGAAATACTGAAAACTTGGAAGCGGAGCTCGTGAGGAAGCCGGACACAAGCAGGAGTGTACGCATGCCACGGTCTGTCAGAAAGCCAGGCAGGATTACAGGATGGTAAATTGGCCAGGAATGGAGCACATCTGCCTCCTTTGGGACAGAAACCCACTCTGGCTTCAAGCACATCTAGTCCCAACTCCTTACGACAGCGGGAAGAGCCCCGAAGCCCAAAAGACTCGCGAACAAGCGTGGTAAAAGGTGGAGGGTCACTACCATTTTTATTTGGGTGCTGTCTGTCAGCTGCTGCACAGTGTAGGCATCTTCCGTGTTGTACTGCAGTAAAATCGCCATCTGGAACGTGGAGGCCTAACGGAGCCAAACAGAGAATGAGGGGGAGAGGGGGGACAAGCAGGATGAACCAACATACTTCCGGAATCCGAACAGCCTGAGGTTCACCGGTTAAACACGTACGTGGGAATATTTGGAGAACAGAGTTGCCAACTAGTGCTGATCATTACTCGACATAAACCCCCAGACTCGGATCATTTAACCAGTGGCAGACACTTCATCACCTCCCCTCTTCTGGTGTCAAAGCTTTATCTTTCCCACTCGCCAATGCAACTGTTGTTCCTGTCGCTCCGTGGCTCTTACTCACTTAAATCTTTATTAAAACCTACACAGACCACTGAACGCATCCTCACAGCCCTCCCAGCGCCAGCGTCCCAGACGGGAGCCAGACCTGGTGTATACATACAAATCTACGCGCGTACACCCCCCAGTGAAGGAACACCCTTCTTTTCAAACACATTCAGCTGCACACTCATCCTCTGAAGTAAAGGCGAGTTATCTCCCCACGAGAAGCGAAGAGGCCACGCAGCTCATCCCGGTAGCGCGAGAGCAGCGGGGCACTAAGGCCCAGCTGTGAACGGATGGGCTGCGCCCAGCGCTCCGGAGGCACCCGCCGCCCCGTGTTTCCGGTGGCGTTTCATCACCCTTACCTGCAAGGTGTACCTGTTCTTGAAACAGTTGGTCACCAGCTCCCCTTTGGAGAGCTGATACAACCACGTTAGTTTTCTCCCGCTGTGCCGGCTGGCATAAAAGGCAGTAAATCTCTGGTAGCTCCGTTCTAGCTGTATAAAAACAACAACAACCAAACAAAAAGTATTATTGGCCATCACTGGAATGTGCTCTGGAACTAATAAAGGAGAATCAGATCTCATCACCCTTGACTGTTGTCTGAATAAGACAGGAATCCAGAGTACTCTGATTCCTCAGACTGGATGGAAGTCTCCCCTCGTTATGAGTCTCTCCTCGTTATGAGTCTCCCCGTTAAAAGCTCATTAACAATACAAGCCTAAACAAGCATTTAAGTTCCATTCCTCCGTTTCTGATACATTAGACAAGGCTAGACAGGAGACTTCTATCTCCCCAAACCAGGTGAGAGTCACATCTCTCACACTCCTCCCACTTTACCCTGTTATCTTGTTGCCTATTGGGGCTACAAGGAAGCTGGGGGGGACTTTTCCCAAGGGCCTGTAGTGACAGGACAAGGGGTAACGGGTACAAATTGAAAGTGGGGAGGTTTAGGTTGGACATCAGGAAGAAATTCTTCAAGGAGAGGGTGAGTAGGCACTGGGACATGTTGCCCAGAGAAGCTGTGGATGCCCCATCCCTGGAAGTGTCCAAGGCCAGGCTGGATGAGGCTTGGAGCAACCTGGTCTAGTGGAAGGTGTCCCTGCCCATGGCAGGGGGGTTGGAACTGGATGATCTTTAAGGTCCCTTCCCACCCAAACCATTCCATGATTCTATGAGTCTATTTGGCTGGAGGGTATTTGCAACCACCTGCCCATGGCAGGTGGGTTGCAACTGGATGATCTTTAAGGTCCCTTCCCACCCAAACCATTCCATGATTCTATGAGTCTATTTGGCTGGAGGGTATTTGCAACCACCAGAGACAATTCCAGAACTCCCTGACACACACCAAACCAGGAGACGACACCAGCCTTGCAAAACAGATCCCTCTCACGGACCATTCCACGCCTGGATGCTCACTCACCTCAGACGGCAGAGCGAATGTGCAGGACTGCTGGAACGGCCACGAGCCGGAACTCAGCACTTGGATGCTGAAATCCACTGCAAGAGAGGTGAAGGTATGTCAGGAGGCTGTTATCCCCCTTGCGCCCACCCCCACCTCAAACACACCATCCCAGTTGTAAACACAAACAAGAAATGGTTCTGCCTGGCTCAGACTAACAGGGTAAGGAAAAAAAAAATATCATTAAACAATACGTATTCTTTTTTTCAGACCATAAACCGAAAGATTTTGAGTAAAATGTCTCTGACAGTGACCCAATTTTCTCTCTTCTGTACAAGTGATGACCCTGCTTCTATCCCCACAACAAGGGGGGCAGTGTAAAAACTGTAAGGGCTCATCTTTATTTACGTATTTAACTAAAACCCACCAACCCACAGTGCAGGACTGCCAGAATACACCTTTCACGTTCACACCTGTAAGGCACTGTGGGCACACCAGGAACAACAACAGAGAAGCGAAGTAAAACTGAAGCCTGACAACACACAGCTCGAGACGCAGTCCAACAGATCATCTTCAGTCCTTCAAAAGGATGTTCCAATGAAAACCCCACTTCGGAGGGACAGGGCCAACTAACCACCTAAACCACATCACCCCGTTTTCCTTAATGCTTTTACACAGGTACCCACTGAAGCCACGTTGTGCTCAAAATCAAAACTGTTTAAAGAAAAACAACTTTCCAATAAAAAAAAAAAGGATGGGATTTGACTGAATTTAATGACCTAAACACGAGCTGCAAAATCAAGGCCACTCATAGCAAGATCTAAAGTGCTATTAGAAAAGAGAGTACAGGCCTAAAAGGCTAGTTAAAAAAATCCCAGCAATCTTGGCCAAAGTAAGACTAAAACTTCTCAGGGCATGATGCCTAAACCCAATGTTCCCCTCATGTAGCTAGCTCTGTGGATGTAAGAAGATGCTAAACTACCCAACAGGGACTCAGGTAAATGTATGACTTACAATCTAAGGGTTCCGAGTTGGTCAGGTGCTTTTTAAACTGCTCATTCAAGTCCTTGCTCACCCCAATGTCTTGGAACATCCGCTGCAGCTTGGAGGTGTACTCGAACCCACACGCTTGCTGCATTTTAAAAGCAGATACATCAGCGAGACACGTTTGACATTGGAGAACGAGAATGACGACGTATCGGAGCCCGTTTTCTTTAACAAAAAGATGATGTACAAAGTTCAGCGTTTCCCTTACTCAAAGTACTCATCCCAGCCAGCCAGGCTCTTTAAGTTTTGCTTGAAAATGAAACAAGACACACAGTGGAACAGACTAAAAGAGTGTTAGGACTGTAGTTGGCTTGACCCTGAATGAACAAGCCTTAATGAAATGAAGTCACTTCTCAGAAGTCGTTCCCTTGGATAATTTTATCTGTGTCATTAATTCGGGTAAGAATAATTAAGCTTAACCCCACCTTAACTCCATCGGACAGACAGGCACTACAAGCTCCCAGGTGGTTAACAAAAAACGCAAAGGGAAAACACCTTAAGTTGGGTATTTTTCCCTTGCACATAAAATAAAGAAATGAAAGGACACACATCAACGTTTTCCAAGGCAGCCTGCAGAAACTCCTAAAGGAATACTCACTTTCAGTTTAGAGATCATGCTTGCCTCGGCATCATCACTAGCACTGTTCTGGTGTACAAGTCTCTTCGCCAGCATTTTCGCATAGAATTTTTGAAAGACATCTTTGTCCTCGATGTACTTGAAGACAACCATCTGGAAAAGCCAAGGTAATTTGTAAAGGGAAAACCACCCCCTTAGGTGTCTTGAAAAAGCTGTGGCAGTAGCTACCCCAATTTGCACTTAAAAAGTTTAATGGCGTTTTTTTCCGGGTTGTTTTGTGTGGGTTTTTTTTGTTAATAGTGACGATCATTCCTGAGAAGCTGAAATACGAAGTCATGAAATCAAACACACAGAACAAAAGGTTCTCTCCTCTGAGCTGTGTGAGGATCAATTACTGACTTGTCAAAGCGTACACAGAACAGTGCTCACAGACATCTTACCACTTGGTTGAGTGTATCTTCCAATTCTGCTTCTTCTGGATTCTTTGAGCTGCAATTAAAGAAGTGCGTTTTTAACGAGCGCCCAGACTGCTGAGTTAAAACAACTTACGGATGTATAAGGAAGTTTTATAAATAAAGGAACACAGATTGAGTAGTCTGGGGATCAGAGACTCCTCAGAAAGGAAAGCGTGCGATGAAACGAGCACTTCACTGCTCCACGTGTGAGCAGTTCCCACGTGTGTGATTTTTAACCACTAGTTTGAAGTCCTGGGCCATGAACTGCTCAGAACTTCCTGACAGTCTGACACTTCTCAGGACTTAGGGGATTAAGCGCAGATCTCTCCCTGCTTTTTTTTCTGTTGCTAAATGCCATCTTCACTCCTTGTCTTAGGTATACAGCGAAAAGAAAATGGCTTAGAGCTGGTTCTTGACTGAGCGAGCGCTCAGGTGGCACCACACTGTTTTCCTGGAGCACCTCTCCTATGACGAAAGGCTGCGAGAACTGGGCTTGTTCAGCCTGGAGAAGAGGAGGCTCCGAGGAGACCTCATTGCAGCTTTCCAGTATCTGAAGGGGGCCTACAGGGGTACTGGGAGTGGACTTTTTACAAGAGCCTGTAGTGACAGGGCAAGGGGTGATGGGTACAAATTGAAAGGGGGGAGGGTTAGATTAGATATCAGGAAGAAATTCTTCACAGAGAGGGTGGTGAGGCACTGGAACAGGTTGCCCAGAGAAGCTGTGGATGCCCCATCCCTGGATGTCTTCCAGGCCAGGCTGGACGAGGCTTGGAGCAACCTGGTCTAGTGCAAGGTGTCCCTGCCCGTGGCAGGGGGGTTGGAACTAGATGATCTTTAAGGTCCCTTCCAACCCTAACCATTCTGTGATTCTATGATTCCTCTGTACCACGGGTATCCACCAGGCACAGCCCAAACCTGCCCTGCAGAAAGCTACTAGTGACAAAGGGGAAAACAAATCCATTGCTGAAGGAAGGGATGGGGAGGGGAAAAGCGAGCAAATCTTCTGGTTTCGGGCTGTTTGGTGGTGGCGTTTTTCCTCCCCCAAACCAGCTAGAAAAGTTGCCAGCAACAAAACTGACACCAATCCAGTAGGAACTGAACTGATACCAACTCGGCGTATGAGCTGCCGAATCATCTGGAGCCAGACACCTCCGTTAAATTATGGGCCAGAGAGGTTAGAGAGCGGGTTTTGTCCCCAACTTCTGCCCAGACAGAAGAAGAGGTGGACAAAACAACAGGACGAAAGAAAGAGCTTTGATGGAAAAAGGGGAAGTGTGTCTCTTTACAACATATAACACAACTCAAAATTTGGGGGTAACAAAACTAAAAACCCTTTCTGTTCGATTGAAAACTAGAACTTGCTTTCCCATAAGGAAGGTCTTTGATCTTTTAGTATTTCCCCATTCTGATTTAAGAAAGAAAAGTTAAACTTCATATAATCTTTAGGAACGGACCTATGGAAATCTTTTAATTCAGAATTTGGTACAGTTAACTTTTCTTGAAAAGTTAAATTCTGCTTCTAAAGACACAACAGAAAACTTCATGTGCTGCAACCTTTCAAAACAAAAGCCAACCGGAAATAATAGTTTGTCTTTGAAGACGTACCTTTTCTTTAGTAAAGAGTCACAGTATCGTGCCAGGAGCTCTGGGGATTTACTGGATGACTGAGCCATTTTTGTCACTGCATTATTATTTATAAATCGACCACAAGCCTATAAATCACAAGACAACAGTGAAATTTCGTGAGACAAAACACTGAACAGAAAGAGAAACGTCCCCCCCCCAGCACTCCGTGAACTCACTTTGTCTAGGGCAGCCACAAAGCCAGCATCGTTGTTGAACGCGGACATGACTAAAGCATTGTATTTCTTATGGACATCCAACACGGTCTGTACATACATTTTTGGATCCTGCAAGAGAGAGAGATTGGGTTTTTTTGCAACCTGTTGACCTTCGGCTTGCTCCAAAAGAGAGCTGCTCGCTGGCCTTCAATGGGGAAAGTCTACACAGTATCAGAAGTATTGTAAGGGTAAAAGAGCACCCAGAGCAGTGTAGGCACCATGTCCAGCACTGCCGTACGCCAGCACCACCCTCTGCTTACAGCAACCACAGGGCAGGGCGTTCCACACCTCACAGTGCTGAAGAGGACAAAACCACTCAACCACTGCAAGCATTTCCAAAGACCAAACCTCAGCTCAAATCGGACCCGAGCGTGCTGGACAGCCACCAAACGGCAGCTGCTAGGGAAGAAACCCTCGGAATCAACCTCTGCAGTAAGAATGTGAGAGGCCTATCACCAACAGGTACAACGCAGTACAGGGACCTCAGTTCTCAAGAGCCCATGGCAGCCAAACGCCAACAAACATCGAGCTCATTGCATGGCGAAGGGCAGCACCAGGCAGAGTGGGGCAGCTACTGTACAACTGACTGAAAGGCTGGAAGTCTTCAGTTTGGAGATCAGAACCTTGAAAGGGCTTAAGACCAGCGTTTACAGAATCAGGAGGATGACTGAGAGGACAAACGATCGCCAAAAGCAATGTTTTAGAACTACAGGACACTCAATGAAAGCGATAGGAAATGAGGTTAAGACAGATAAAGAACATTTTTACATATAATGTAGTGGACTTCTGGAACTTGCTGCCACAGGAGATTGCTGGAAGCACATAGTATCAGCAGGTTCAAGAACAGGCTAGATAAACTCACACATGACAGGTCCATAAATAAAAACCTAAAGGATTGGGCATGGAGGCACTCTGGTAACATTCCTATCCTAAGAGTTCTGGCAACAAATGGCAAGAGACGGGCAGGGTTGGATCAGGATCCTGAAAACCATTTCCTGTTGCCACTGAAGACAGACAAACTACATGGACCACCCATCTAATGCTGTGCTTGAGAAAGAACTGAGATTGAGAACCTCCCAGACAAGAAATTCAAGTGAACTTGAAGGATATCCAGAAAGGCACCTACTGATGACAAGGACTCCAAGAAAAAAAAAAATAACCAAAGGCACTAAAAGCAGTAATCTCCTGACTGGAGAGCAGCCTTGTTAATGTAGTTAGTGGGGTCCAAAGCACAACTCGTTCTGCAGTAAAAATCTAAAATAGGTCAGATGAGTCAAGCTGGTGTGACTGCTTCTCCCCACCAAGAAGCATTTGCCCAGCTGACTATCTGTCTAGACACAGTACAGTGAAGTCAGGCACAGTCGATCCTACGTGAGTGTGAAAGTGCTAACAAGGCAACGATGAACAGCCTGGAGCAAAGGACACTGGAAGAAAAGGCAAGATGGCTCCCAAGGGAGACAACCAGATACTGCTATGAAAATTAAGAACAAACATGTGGAAAACCACTGCCAATCTCATGGAGTTCA